TCATTGACAGTATCATGGTTGCCATTTCGTTTGATGCCACAATTCCACCCGCTATACAGAAGTAGCCGACACAATTAACTGCCACCTCTTGGCTGCCGAGAAATTAAACTACCTGGACAAGGTTTGCGCCTGCGAACTCATTTTACCCTATCGGTGTATGATGTAATTGTAACCAGTCAAAGAATTGCTCCATCTCCGAAGCTGCTGTGAGTGTCGCGACAGATTTGTTCAGACCGAGCAGGTACTGCAGTGCTTGATGGTCAGTCACGCTCGCTAATCGCTGTCCAAACAGATATATATGTAGGCTACGGGTAGCCCAGTATAACGCCGGAGATCTCCGTCTACGACTTGTATCATACTGTTATTCCGGAAGTTCGATGTTGCACCCATGCTTGTCCGGCACAACTGCGTCCACTTGTCAACGTCTCACGCCGGTAAAAAACATACTTCTTGTGTTCCATCTCCAAGATGCTTGGTTGTACCGCTCATAGTCTTATTTGAAACCCATTGTAAATATTTGCAGTCTGTTGGCATGGGTTGGGATGCACTTAGAAAAGCCCTCAGTACCACAAACAAATCGAGGCCTAATATTCACACTGAGTGACAGATTTGAAAACTGAAATGATCTTATTCCCTTTATGTCTGAGTGGTTCTTTTAGTTTGGAGCAATAAATATAACTGTATTTGATCACCAACACGTCACACCCTTCAGTTACAGTTTCCAAGACAATCTATTTTTCCAAGTCAAAGTCCGAATCGGCATACGAGCTCAGTATGGTAGTGGGACAATGCCTATGCATACAAAAGTTCATTAGAACACGTGTATATTCGTCCAACTGAAATCACAGAAAAATAGAGATGCACCAGAAACCCTTCGTACACTATAACTTCGGTTTACCGTGGGTTGTACTGTGTATATTACTTATATTCCTCCCTCTCAGCCTCCCCGACCATGGTTCTATCTACCGGCACCAGGTGCTGCTGTATGTCCCACATAGGTTAGCAATTATTTCGATGATGCTGATGTCACTCTTAGATCGACTAACCAGTTCGTTTTGACGGCTTCAAGTACATACTGAAGTACACCCACACAGACAATAGTATTTGACATTGATTCATTTGTACTTTTTGTCGACTGACCTTGAGATTTTCCGCCATGGTGTGATCATCGCACCACGAGCCCTAGTAACTGAGACAACCACGTTATAATGGTCAAAAGGCCGCGTGTTGAGTACCGATCCCACGGATAGGCATAGCATCAAGTATGTGGTGCTACTAGGGCATAATTTCGGCCTATTTTTCATTCCCTCGAACAAGCCCCAAATAAAATGGAGACAACCACGGGCTCAGCATCAAGGCGTGGCAAATGGCCAAGGTCCAGCTTAGGAGTTAAACTCTCAGATGTCGATCTGTCGCATAGCATAATGCAGCAAACACCTCTGTGAACCACGGTTGAGGTCGTTGAACCACGTTCATTATGTCACTGCAACTGTGGGATCAGCCTCAATCACGATTACAATAGAGAAGATAAAACTGATTTGATCAGTATGCTATGTGGCAAAAGTTCAATGACCACTCACAAGTGTTTGGCTGAATAGCAGAGGCTATTGTATTACGTGGAAGTTCTATTCGAATGATTTCTAGTCACTTTCCCCATGTAGGATAGTCTGCGTCTACCCTCGAGTTCGGTGGACATGGCCAACCGAATTAAAACTGACAATGATGTAGGAAAGTTTATTTTACACAACCGGTTATCTAGCCCAGAGTTTGTTACGCAATCAGAGATGAAGGTATATGGCTTGACGTGTCACGTGTCTAATTGCGTGTGGATCAGGAACAGCCGATCCGTAATCGATGAGGTGTACATGCCCTTGTTTCTGATTGGCACAAATAGTTACAGAATGGTTGGTAAGTGCGAAAAGAACCTTACGAGTTCCAATTCATTTTGTTCCTATTGAAAAACAGTCGATCAACCAGGACCCGGAAACGGGGTGACATAACTCGCAACGATGAACGTAAGATCAGGTTTTCTGTTTCTTTGTGTAAAACAAGTTTCTGAGTAGCTCACCTGCTCTGTGCTNATCAAAAGCAAATATTAGCAAAAAACAAAACCCTTTTTCAGTTGGACGTTAACAAATCCCATCGAGCCATATTCAAACTTTCTTTTTGCTCAAAAGAATGCTGACTCCATCGTCAAGTGCCCTAAGTCATCCCATTACGAGAAAATAATATACTGTTGAATAAATGAAGCTGGTGCATACAAGTGTGAGTATAATCTCATCCAAAAGATTGGAGAAAATTCAACTCAAATGTTAATACATGGGAGAAGGATTTCGGTCAAAGAGAAATGAATCCAATCTAGATTTTGCCGGTGTTGAAGAGAACATGATTGAGAGGGTCGCAAATAAAAATGAACCCAGGAGTGAAATTGAGACAGAATCGCTCTGGGTTGATGTTATCGTGGGCGTAGACACGGTCACCTGGTCACCTAATTGAATTGCTCACATTCAACCTCAGATTCCGTTCAGGCGGTCGGACTGGTGAAACCCTTAGGTTAGATCAGTAGTCGAGTTTATCCGCACGTCTACTATACTAGGCCGAAAGTGATCACTGAATGATGCAAAATAGCAAGAGAAGATCATAAATGGATTACTAAAATTCGAAAAGGAGTCAGGAAAACCATTCCTTCGTGTTGTCTGCTCATATTATTACAAAAGATCGAAGACTGTCCTCTTATGTCTCAGTAAAATGGCCGTTCAATATAATCTTATTCTTAAATACATGATTACCTGAATCTTTCTACACTAGTTATACTGTTCCCTGAAATTTATCCCTATTTTAAAAGAAAAAGATTTTACCTTGTTTTCCAGATCCCTAGAAATTGCGTCCCTAGCCGGTGCAACTTTTAGCGTGCTTTTCGTTACGTCATTTTCATTTATACGCATTTCGACTCCAGCGATATGTTTATTGCGAATATAACACGTGATCAAGAGCAGTCTGCAAACAGAACTTTGAAAAACTTATCAACTCCCCGAAACCGTTCCTTGTTGCGCATACATCAACATACAGAAACAGAGTAATTCGATACTTTACTCGGCTCTTGGTTAATCGCACGAAACCCACCTTAGGGAAAGTATATCTGTGTGTATTTAGCACCCCCTTGCGAACAATCACGCTGACAACGCAACAATAATAATAACAGAGCATGTGGAGATTGATGTATAAAACAGGATGAAGTGGGGATCAAACAACTAGAATGGATAAAAATAACAAAAATAACGATTTTTTTGTTCAAATGGATATTTGGCAGATTTGAAGTTTCTATGCCGATTGTGTCGGGGCAGCCAGTTTGCATGCTAATTGGTGGATGCCATATGCCTGTGTAAGTTGGATGGGTAATTCGAATGTGAAAAGATTAATTTTTTGTTTCACTTTTTGAGGTACTTTGTGTGCTAATTTATCGTTTGTCACAGGGCCCGGATTTTCAATAGACGGACCACACAGCATTCTCACCATTGACTTGTATTCTGTGCCTCTAACTAACGAACATCCTCATCCTTTTGGCCCCAACCTGCCAGGCGGCGTGTACCAACCAAAGCTAAAGCTGAAGCTAGCTCCTTCATACCGCTACGTCATGTCATAGTTCGACCGCCGCGCCGTTTCTTTCAGCTTTACCTAGTAGGAAAAAAGAGAACACGGAAAGGTAGATGATGGACAGGCGTACGCATACACAGGGAAGAACTCGTGCATTGTTTTTTCTTCTGCTACAGTATCCAATCCATTTCCCATTATTTCTGATTGCAATTTATTATATATCCACTGTACAAGTTCGTAAATTGCTGAAAATTCACCCTATGGATGCGTTTCTTGACTTGCCTTGCCTTGACTTGACACACTTACTACCAAGAAGATTCCCCTGGTTTATTCTATGCTTCATCTTGCACACGAATTGCATAGTCTGGATTTCGATATTTTAAAGGTCGATTGATAACTACTACATCCGGATGGGGTTAACAGTTATTACATACAATTTAAAGCCTCGTGGGCCGAATTCCGCTTGTAGCCCCTGAAAATTCTCTTTAGTCAAATACCGTTTCGTCCTTTTTAGGACTGGTCAGCAGTGCGTACTTTTTGTGTCCCTGTCAGGACTCGAACCGCGATTCTTCAGGCTGGGATTTCAAACCCTTAGCCTTGAGCTAAACCGTTATCACCTTGTGTGAATGGCTCGAGGACATTTTAAAAAATCTATCAATTTACTGACTATATTAACAGCCGTAACAAGTTAATTACACTTCTGTAAAACTAAGTAATAAAGCAGTAGTTTTGCGTTCTTTTTAGACCACTTGTTTGCGAAATAGACTTTTGCGCCCAATTGCGCATCGCTCGAATTTTATTAAATGAAATCATGCCTTATACTGTTCCCGCGTTTGCAATCAAAAATAGATCAAGGGACCGATTCCGAACGCTGCTTCAGCCGCTTCACGAGAAGCACTAATGTATCAGCCCTGATTGTCCATCCGGTTTTCCATTCAATTTACGTAATCTTACACTAAAAGTTTTTCATTAGTAACAAATAACATGAACAGATTACCTGAACACTTCATTCCAGGTAGACGGCAGCAAGTTGTGACACATGTTCAGTACCTTTGGTGGTGGTGGTGCAGTGGTTTAATCGCTGTCACTGGCATGCTTTGGACTCTGGAGTCCGAGATTCGATCCCCGCCGCCGCTACCCAACTTTGGTGGTAGGCAGCTTTGCTGTCGTCCGGTTCCACATCACTCCTGAGCTAAAGGGTCCTTATGTGGTTCGCCACTCCAAGCCCCGGGGCTTAGGTTGCGGGTTACTATTATTGAATAGCAGTTCCTCGTGACTATGGGGTCCGCCCCGACTGCTGTTCATCATACACTGGTGAGTGACGCATGAGGATCGCGTATCAGTGATCAACGTAGCGTAACTTCTTTAAACCTGGCCTATGTCTGCACATTCACACAAGACCTCTGTTAAGTCAAATAGCGTGGTTCTTCGAATTGGTCCCCGCTTACATGTGTGTCACTGTCAGATTTGACTTGAAAGATTGTGATGCTTCTGTCATAATGAGATGAAATTATCACAATGTATCAATCCATGTTCTCTTCCGAGGAGTGTCAGATATAACTTCAGTGTGTGCGAGAGGGGTTAACAAATGATCACGGCATCACTCACTTGGGTTTATCAATCCTACAGGATAAGATGATGTTTTACCGCGTCAACTAGGCCGAATATCTCGAACGCCAGCTCATTTGACAGTAAATTTGTTGTACTTCTATATCACATATAGTGAGAATAAAGGAAACTAGAAACCTATACGCTAAATGAATTAACAGTAAAACGTACCTTCGAAACAAATACGGTAGTAAATTCTAATATGGATCTCCTTATCAAATGAATGGAAGCATCAGCTGAGAAAATTCATGAGAAAATTCCGTAGTCCATCTTTGACCACTCGAGTCAGAACGGCTGTTTTCATTTAAGGGTTGCAAAAGTACAATGGTTAAATTCATCGTTTATCTCGACTACTAGGACAGGATTCCAGGATGATGATATATGGTTTGTTAAATTGATTAATGATTAATCAATTATTTCGAAGCCTAATGTAATAAGCTTGCTAATCATTGCTAATCGCTGTGATAGGTCGAAACAATTGAGTTACAGCGGGGAATGGGTTTCGTTCGGATTCTCTTGTCTGGTCGTCAGAGCGACCACTGGTCGAGTGACGATCACCGTATGCCGATGAAAGGCATGCCTTAAACCAACATGCAACCGCAGCAGATTTTCCGTTAACTCGGATTGCTACCAAGGTGAATATCAAGAGGTTTGCTCTGGTTGATCGCCCGCTTCGTTTCGTTTTGGCAGGAGAGTAATCATAACTGTGATTTAAGCTCCAGTTGCGTACCTATGAGGCCTCCTTTCGACAGACATCACAATCCCTAATTAAGGCGTGGCTGTCACACGAAGGGACAGGATGAACCCATAGAAGTCCAAACCATTCGAGTCTCAACACAGCTTATGTTGCCCATCGAACAGGTGTCAACCCCGTGGTCACGCCTCAAAGACCACATTAAGGCCTGCCGAGCAAAGATGACGGTTACCACCCTATGCTGTGGTCCGGATTGAGGGGACAAACTACTACGTTTGTGCATTTTCTTTGTTCTACACAGCTCAAGCCCGTGTCTGTAACAAAAAAATAATTATGTTTATGGTCCGCATTCGCCACGGGTTCCAATGGCATACGAGATCAAACAGGGCTGTTTCTCAGGCGGTACCATGGGAATGTGTTGATCGGCTGACGCATTGGAAGCGTCTGTTTTTCGTATTTTTGTCTGTTTTTTTTCGTATCCTTGTCTGTTTATACGCTTATGCAAACACAAAGAATACATTTTACTTATGATAAAGCATAATACAGAGATAGGCAGAGAGAATGAGTTAGGTGCAAAAGAAAAAAGTACTCGCACTGTAGTCAAATTAATACCGTATGTTGTACAGGTCTCGGTGTTTGGGTAGTTGTCTTGATGAGGGTCGATAAAATCTTAGGTTATGTTCATCTGGTTATGGTTATGGTTACGAAGTGGAAGGAATCTATTGAATAACAGGTAATTGGGATGAGGGCTCAAATCACGTCACAGCTCGCTCGCATCAGGTGTTACGTGACTGGTCAGTTTCGCTATCAACCTTACCAGTACCGACAGGCCTAATGATTGTTTATGTGTATTTCACCCAATCACCCTGTAAATCGTGTTCACACAACTACAGTCAACCTGTTCCAGTTCAGTGACGTGTGTTCTTTTTAATCAGAGGCGTACAGTTATAACAGTAATATGAACGAAAAAAGAATCAGTGATAGTTCATGCCATGCACAGTTGATATGTGTGCCCACAACCCGAACAGCGGTCTTCCCATATTCCTGGCAATCGAAGTCATGAATAGACACCGTGAAATTTACCACGCTTGCGTTCATTTCAGACTGTTGGGTGCGTATAATGCTTGTGTTTTTATTTTTTGTGTGTTCAGACTGCATAGTATGTCGGAAATTCCACCTAAAATAGGTTAGATATTGATGCTTATTAACGCGGGAACTGTCATCTTGTTCATTAATTAGGGCAATTAATGGCAAACAAACAGGCACAAGAGAAATTCCCTGGTTAAATTGAAAACCGTGTTCTTTTACTAAACACTTATTATAGGGTGACAGAATGTTTTTAGTTCCAGGTGATATCCTCTTGAATAACAGCTGTGAGTAGACAGTATGAGCTCAGGGTTCTCTGCTCTGTAAATTAGCGGAAGGCTTTTGATCAACGTCCCTTGTATGACTGCGCTGAATTTCATACGCAAACTGCCACACTTGAATTGGCAATCCCATTAATCATATGCTAACGTCATTCTTACTCATGTGGAGTAAAACACTGCAGAATATTCATTAAGTCATCTGCAACCTCGTTGGGCTCCTGTTTTCACATGTTCAACTTAGACGAAAAAAGGCATTCGGAGTGGCAAGTACACTGCGATTTCTTCATCGTTTTACATCATCTCGTCGATCTTACCCCTTACCCCCCCCCC